CAGGGAAAGAGGCAGACACCGCAGCCCCATTGCTCTGTGGAAACCGGGCCCAGAGTGGGTGGGCCTCCAGGTCCCACAGGAGCCCCTACCGCCTGGCCCAGTGGGTGGTCAGTGGTCACAGAGAGCCCTGGGGGTGTCCGGACGGGATCTCTTCCAGCTCGGCGGACACTCCAGAGATGAGGTGTCCCTATGTGGGCTCAGGGCTCCCCTGGTCCCACGGTGCCCAGAGACACCCACACCCACAGACCCCCACCCAGACAGCCTGGGGCCTGGCTGTAGGAGCAGGAACTCCTGGCTTGTCCTGCCGGGCTCTGAGCTGCTAGGAGCCGGGGACCCCTACTGCCCTCGGTGCCCATGGGCCACATAAAGTGGCTACTGGCTGGCCGTGTGGCCTGGGCCTCAGCCTCGTCTTCCATCTCCCCGGGGATGGGGCCATGGCTTGCAGGCCAGCCGCTCTAGCAGGGGACTCATGGAGGGGGATCAGCTGTCCCCATGGGTCTACATGAGCTGGCCGTGCAACCCTGGCCCAAGAACGCCTCCTTGGGGTCCCTCTCTCATCGAGAGGGGTTCAGGGTACAGAGCTGCCCTGCCCTGGGGTGCAGTCAGATCTGAGTACGCAGCAGAGAGTGGGCCGGAGCAGAAAATGGATCCCTAACCTCGGAGAAAAGGAGGGCGAGGGGGGCTGTGGATCTGAAGGAGAGGAGAGGCAGCTGCAGGAATCAGGAAGCCCAGACAGGCCGGCCAGCCCCTGCCCCCGCTGGGCCCACAGCGCTGGGAGTTGTCCCCACCCCAGGGCACAGGAGAACAAGGAGAACCAGTCATCACAGCCCCTCACGCATGGGGGAGCCCAGGCTGGGATGCCACACGCCCTGCCTATGACCGTGGGCCTCAGTCTCCCCTGCAGGACGGTACTGACGATGCCCATCCCGCAGGCCATGACCAGGGCAACCCGAGTAACATGCATGCCCCCTCAGGCATCACACACACGGAGCTTTACCAGTGCCCTGGGGCTGCCATCACAAATGACCGCCCCAGCTCTGGAGGCCAAAATCCGAATTCAAGGTGCCAGCAGGGCCATGGTCCCTCTGAGGCTCCAGGGGAGGGTCCTTCCTGCCTCTCCCAGCTCTGGTGGCTCCTCATGTGCCCTGGCTGTGGCCTCATCTCTAGAGTCTCTGCCTCCGTCTCCATGTGGCCTCCTCCCGTGTCTCTGTCCCTCCCTTTCTGACAAGGACACATGTCATTGGATTCAGCGCCCAGCCTATTCCAGTCTGACCTCATCTTAACTAATGACATCTGCAAAAACTGTTTCCAAATACACTCACATTCTGGGGTCCTGGGGGTTCGTCTGGGGGGACACAGATCAACCCAGTACAGTGGTCATTGCCGTTGCCATGGTCACTGTTGCTCCCACAATGGCTGGTTTTGGGCTCCTTGCATGGCCTGGTCAGCACAGGCTGGGACCTGGGGATGGGCGGCAGGGGGGCACGGCAGAGACGCACCTGCGTGTCTGCACACAGCCGTGCTTGGGCAGATGGGAACCCACCTGTTTGGAGGATTCAATCGAGGAGGGAGGCCCTGGTGGCACCCTCAGGGACAGGGTTCCTCCCAGGCCCCCAGTGGTCACAGAGAGCCCTGGGGGTGTCCGGACGGGATCTCTTCCAGCTCGGCGGACACTCCAGAGATGAGGTGTCCCTATGTGGGCTCAGGGCTCCCCTGGTCCCACGGTGCCCAGAGACACCCACACCCACAGACCCCCACCCAGACAGCCTGGGGCCTGGCTGTAGGAGCAGGAACTCCTGGCTTGTCCTGCCGGGCTCTGAGCTGCTAGGAGCCGGGGACCCCTACTGCCCTCGGTGCCCATGGGCCACATAAAGTGGCTACTGGCTGGCCGTGTGGCCTGGGCCTCAGCCTCGTCTTCCATCTCCCCGGGGATGGGGCCATGGCTTGCAGGCCAGCCGCTCTAGCAGGGGACTCATGGAGGGGGATCAGCTGTCCCCATGGGTCTACATGAGCTGGCCGTGCAACCCTGGCCCAAGAACGCCTCCTTGGGGTCCCTCTCTCATCGAGAGGGGTTCAGGGTACAGAGCTGCCCTGCCCTGGGGTGCAGTCAGATCTGAGTACGCAGCAGAGAGTGGGCCGGAGCAGAAAATGGATCCCTAACCTCGGAGAAAAGGAGGGCGAGGGGGGCTGTGGATCTGAAGGAGAGGAGAGGCAGCTGCAGGAATCAGGAAGCCCAGACAGGCCGGCCAGCCCCTGCCCCCGCTGGGCCCACAGCGCTGGGAGTTGTCCCCACCCCAGGGCACAGGAGAACAAGGAGAACCAGTCATCACAGCCCCTCACGCATGGGGGAGCCCAGGCTGGGATGCCACACGCCCTGCCTATGACCGTGGGCCTCAGTCTCCCCTGCAGGACGGTACTGACGATGCCCATCCCGCAGGCCATGACCAGGGCAACCCGAGTAACATGCATGCCCCCTCAGGCATCACACACACGGAGCTTTACCAGTGCCCTGGGGCTGCCATCACAAATGACCGCCCCAGCTCTGGAGGCCAAAATCCGAATTCAAGGTGCCAGCAGGGCCATGGTCCCTCTGAGGCTCCAGGGGAGGGTCCTTCCTGCCTCTCCCAGCTCTGGTGGCTCCTCATGTGCCCTGGCTGTGGCCTCATCTCTAGAGTCTCTGCCTCCGTCTCCATGTGGCCTCCTCCCGTGTCTCTGTCCCTCCCTTTCTGACAAGGACACATGTCATTGGATTCAGCGCCCAGCCTATTCCAGTCTGACCTCATCTTAACTAATGACATCTGCAAAAACTGTTTCCAAATACACTCACATTCTGGGGTCCTGGGGGTTCGTCTGGGGGGACACAGATCAACCCAGTACAGTGGTCATTGCCGTTGCCATGGTCACTGTTGCTCCCACAATGGCTGGTTTTGGGCTCCTTGCATGGCCTGGTCAGCACAGGCTGGGACCTGGGGATGGGCGGCAGGGGGGCACGGCAGAGACGCACCTGCGTGTCTGCACACAGCCGTGCTTGGGCAGATGGGAACCCACCTGTTTGGAGGATTCAATCGAGGAGGGAGGCCCTGGTGGCACCCTCAGGGACAGGGTTCCTCCCAGGCCCCCACACCCAGAGCCCCTCCAGCCTCTGTACCCGCTTAGCTCACTCATTGGGCTAAAGCGCACCTGCCTTGGAGACCTGGCCAGAGGAGCCAGGGGACATGTCACTGCTCCTGGGCCCTGGCTGGGGGCCGCCTGGGCTCGGGGTAAGACAACAGTCAATCCCGCACAGGACAGCCACGGAACCTCACCCAGACACCAGGCATCACAGCAGGAACACCCACGTCCTACCTGCGATCCCGCCCACTCCCACCACCCAAGAAGCTCTAAGCACCAGGAGTTCTCTTTGCAGGGCCAAGACTTTAGCAGCAGAACCTCCATGTGTCCTGCTTAATGTTCGTGTCCAGAAGTCCTGCAGCAGAGGGTGGACGAGCTGACCAGGGCCACGTAGGAGCCACGTAACACCTGGGTCACGCGCCGCACGTCTTTGGGGAGGTCCAAGACCTTCTGAATCCAGGGCCGCAGGGATCCTGCCCATCTCAGGAGGTGGGGAGGACCCATCAAGGTCATGGATGGGCAATGCCCACTCACAGTAGGCTGACAGTAAATGGGAGTCTCCTTCCCCAGGCTCCACCTTCTGAAGCTCAGCGCAGACCAGAAGTTGGCTCCTTGGCCTCCTGGCGGCGCCCCAGCCCCACCTTGGGGACAGTGTCATCTAATCAGAAGCAGCCCAGCGAGGACAAGACTCTGGACAGCATGGCAGCCAGGGCTCCCCACCCCGACTTTGCATCTCAGCCTCACCAGGGCGGCTCCTTTCATGACAGGGGCCCTTCTAGGAGAAGTCTGAAATCCAGGAGTCCCAGGGCTCAGGGAGTTCGCTTGGCTGTGTGGCATGTCCTCTGCGAGGGCTCCCGACTGCAGTGACTTCCGTGGGGCTGCTGCAGCGCCTCGCCTTCTGACCCCCACCCCAGATGCTGTCACAGGCTACGGTGGGGATCACGGGGGATGGGAATGGGGTACACCCGAGGGTAGCCACGGAGCTCAGTGGCTTGCCTGCTTCTCCACAAGACCCTGGCCTGGCCCCTGCCATGCCCCAGAGCTGGGCCCAGGCGCTGCACACCTGGATCCCCAGAGGAGGCACACTGGGCAAGATGAAGGCCGGCGCCCCAAGGCACCTGACCCTCCTCTGCCCCCTCCCTGAAGCCGGAAGTGTCCTTCTAAAGGGCCAGTGCATGAGCAGGTGGCCTGGGCATGGAAGCCAGACTCCCAGATGCCCACGGTCAGCCCCCTGGACTCACTTAGGGGCCCATCGCAGCAAGTGGCACTGACCCTGTTTGAGCAGCAGAACAAGGGTGGTGTATGCCTGGCTCTCCAGGAGCCCTCACTCTGGGGGAAGCTTAGAACAAGATCCTCCAGTCCCTGTTGGGCCCTCAGATGATGCAGCCCGGCCGACATCTGTCTGCACTTCCAGAGAGACCCTGAGCGGAACCGCCCAGCTGAGCCACCGCCCAACTCCTGACCCACATAAACTGTGACAGTACACGTCTGTTGCTGCTTTAGGCCCTGAATTTTAAGCTAATTGGTTACACGCAGCAGGTAACACAGACACCCGCTCAACACGCTGCGGGGCTCTGGCAGTCCATCAAGGCACCACACGTGTTCTGTCCCAGACCAGCTGCTCCAGGTCCTGCCCGGAGCCCATGCCCTGGAGGACCCCCACCCCATCCCGTCCAGGTCTCAGCAACCCCCCTTCCCCAGAAGCCTGTGAAGCTCCCTGACAACTCTCCCCACGAGGGGCCGCTCCCTGCCGCCTCCCCGGGCTCCCAGCACAGGCCCGCTGCACGACCCGACACGCTCTGCTCACGACTGCCCCAGGGGCCTTGCCAGCCATGACCTTCTGGAAGTCAGTGCTTGCACAGAGGGGAGCTGCAGGAGAGCCTGACCCAAGGCTCTGAGTCCCAGGAACACAGGGATCCCCTCTGCCTTGTTCACCAGTGGTCACCAGGGCCCAGCCTGTGCCTGACACAGAGGAGGATGAATGGATGGATAAATGCACGAGTGGATGGACGGACGGACGGATGGATGGATGGATGGATGGATGGACGGATGGATCAAAAACGGGTGGATGGATAAATGGACTTATCGAGGATGGGAGGATGGGTAAGAGGAGGAAAGATGGACGGTGTGGGGGCAGGAGGGGCACTTACCACAGTGGCATCACTTTCGGGTGGAGGTGGCGACGATGAGGACGATGACCAGGACGGTGACTCCAGCCAGCAGGACGTAGCACCTGATCTTGGGTCTCTGCAGCTGGGCGAGAGAGAGAGGTTGTTGTCGTGTCTTGTCCCCACCCAGCGCCTCCCATCCTGGGGGACAGTGGGCCTGTGACTTGCAAGGGGCTCTGCCCTGAGCTGGCACATATTCATTCAGGATCTGCTCTGGGCTGGCCCTGGAGCCAGGACCACAGGGAAGGAGGCAGGAGAGCCAGTGGGATTCCCGCAGCTCCAGAGGCAGCCGGGCCTGGGGGTGGCTCCTGGTTTGCCATCCTCGAGCCAGGATCTTAGCCACATCCCTTCTTGGGACCTTGGATTCTTCTGAAAGCATAGGATGATGCCATGTAGACTCCACAGGGACACTTGAAGCCTTAATGAAGATGATGCATGCAAAGTACATAGCCTGGGGTCTGGCAAATACAAGACATGAAGTCCTCACCAGATACTCTTCTTATCCTGTATACTGCTGTGGTTATTATAAAGTTAACAACTTCTGGGCCCACCAGAAGGCCTCATGGATGGGAAGACACACAGATCTGGGCTGGGAAACTCATTAGGGAGGGTTGAGAGGCTTCATGAAGAAAGTGATGCCTCATCTAGGTCCTGGGTGGAGGGGGTGTGACTCCCCAGGCCGGCCAGGAGGTAGGAGGTAAGGGACGAAGGGAGAGCCTGGAGAAAAGCGAGAGCTTAAAATAATCTGGTAGGTCACCAAGTGTCCGTGGGATGGGGAAGGGGAAGGAGATGGGCAGAACAGGCCCGCAGATCACAGAGAGGTTTGGACAGCACCCCTGAGATAGCACAGTGAGGAACTGTAAGCAGGGGAGTGACATGTTTTAGAGAGTTAGTGAAGAGGCCATTAGGAAGAAAATAGGAGGCTGGGGAGGAAAGGGGAGGAGAAACAGGAAGGCTGACCCCTGGAAGGACAGGGACCTAGTGCAGAAACGGGAGACCAGAGCGGACAGAGGCAAGACCAGGAGAGGAATCCTCAGAGCCTGGCTGTGACGGGATATTGGAGAGAAGTGAAATAGGTCAAGAATGAGTCCCCAGGCAGCTCATCTGAGTCATTAGGTGGGTGTTGAGGCTGGTCATTCTTTCCTCTGTTCATTATTCCACTCACTCATTCACCCACCTACTCGCCAATCCATACACCCAACCATCCCTCCATCCATCCATTCGCTCTTCTGTCCACCCACTTTCTCAAGGGGGCTCTAGGCTCTAGAGTGAGGGTTGACAGTGGAGCAACTATTCAGCTGTGGGGAAGGGAAGAGACCAGCAGGGATAGTGTAGTGGGCGGCAGTTCCTGGAGTAGGTGGGACTGAACTCTGGTTGGGGGGCCAGTGTCCTCCCAAAACAATGAGTTTTGGGGTGAGGATTGGGTCTAGGGTGATGTCTCAGATCTGCTGGGCATTGGATGGATGACTGGCCCCCATCTCAGCTGCCTTGGTGTCTTTGCATTTGGGGAGGGACCCACACACCAGCCTGAAGACCAGCCATCATCAGAACCGCCCTGCCTCCCAGGCCTGGGAACAAGTATTGTCACTGTGTTCTGGGCCAGGATGCTGGTCTCAGAGAAGTTAAGTGACCTGCTCCAGTCTTCACAGATGGTGTGGGGCAGATCTGAGGTTCAGGCCTCTCTGCCCCTCTTCCCAGCTACTGTCACAAGTCACACTGCTGCCCAGACATGCCAGCTGGGAGGGGCTGGGAAGGGCCAGAGTGAATCAGACACAGCCCTCAGGGAGCGCACAGCTTGGGGTGGGCAGGAGGCCAGAAACCCACAACCCTCCTGGCAGGGAGAGGGCTCAGAGGGAAAGATGCTCCGAGCCAGGGACACTGCAGGACCCTGGACAGCACCCATGCCCAAGGTCCCCGTGCAGCAGGACAGCCACCCCTTCCCGAAACCTTGTGATGAGCCCCATGTCCTACTCGGGTTGCGTGCACTCAGACCCTCGCCCGGCACTGGCAGGCGGGTCCTGTCGACACACGTCTGCAGATGAGGGGATGGCTCAGAGAGCCTCCAGCTCGTGAACTGCAATCAGGATTGGAACCCGGCGCCTGGCTGCAGAGCCTGTGCGTAACACTCCACGCCCCTCACAGAAGGGCCGATGCAGTACAGCAAGGTGTGCCCTGAGGGTATTCAGCCCCCCTAGCACACCCAGGCCCCCAACAAAGACTGACGGGGACACGTGCGGGAATCTGGATGCCAGGCAGGGCAGGCTTCAAACCCTGTCCTCATGTCACAGCCTGACCACGTGACCTGGGGCACATCACTGGCCTTTCAGCCTCCAGGTGGTCACACCAGGGTCACTGACCCGGCTCTCCCATCGGTGCGGCGCAGGCAGAGCCCAGTGGCATGACTGGCACTGGCCGAGTGCTCCCCAGCTGCCGGGGTGGGAGGGAGGAGGCGGTGGGCCTGTGCCTGCCCAGCCCGGCCCAGATCAACCCTCCTGGGACCCTCAAGTTAGCCTCACACTGGACAGTGGCCGAGCGCCTGCTTGGGCGTGATCTGCACCAGGCCTGTCCCTCCCTGGTCCCCCCTTGTCCACCCTCCACGCCCCACCCCACCCCCACCGGGTTGAGCAGAGGAGCGGAGGGAAGGCAGGGATGCTGGGAGCCACAGCAGCAGCCAGGGGACCTGGCTGGAGGGAGCGTGACCCCAAGAGAAGCAGGAGAGGTCACCTGAGGGGAAGGGGGAGGCGCGTGACGTCCCAGGGCCCTCTTAGCCCACACCCAGCCTCCACCAAGCCCAGCCCCTTCCCGTCCCTTCTCTTCCCCCCAGCAAACCACGTAGGGCCTCTCCACCGACTTCAAGGGGAAGAGGCGGGTGGGCGATGACAGGCGGGGCCCAGGGGCCACCAGATGCTTGGGCGAAGACATATGACAGAGGCAGAGGCAGGCTTTGATGCTGCGCTGTGCTCTGCAGCCCCCAGTCCCCTCCTGGCACAGGGCAGAGCCCCCAGCCTCCACTCAGGCCCCACACCTGCAGCCTCGCCCACCGGGAGGGAGCTCCCATGCAGAGGATCCAGCTCCTGCGGGGCTGGGCTGCCCAGAGCTGCGGGCCTCATCCCAGCTCAGTGCCAGCAGCAGGGGTGGGGGGGCAGGGGTAGGCAGCAGCCCAGGTCCCTCAGCTGGAGGCCGCATCTCGCCCCCCCAGGCGCAACCAGTGAGACGGGAGCCCCTCCCCGAGCTCTGGGGAGCAGGCAGCTGCCCTGGACACCACCTCAACTGATGGGCTGACCTTCCCAGCTCCCGACGAAAGGGTGTTGACCACATCCATGACCCTCCAGGAAAGCGTAAAGGAGACTTCCTAAGGGGGCAGGATGAGTTGTCCTGTTCATATCGCTGCGCTTGATAAGGCAGAGTGTCTGGAAAGGCCCTCAAGGCGCTAGAGTGGGCACGTCTCATTTGCATGGCGCTTGGGCCATTTATAAAGGCAGGAGGGGCCCAGGGACCTGGGCAGGGGCTGCTGGATGGATGGTCAGGGCCTCGGACCCCATAAACCCCTACTCTCCAAGCTGGTGGGGGGCGCCCTCGTCCACATCAAGCTCTCAAGACCCCACACTGGGCTCCACCCTGGCCCCCTGCTGTGGAGGACACCAGGCCACAGACCTGGGACGTCCACTGTTACAGGTTGAACTGTGTTCCCCAAAAAGACATGCCAAAGCCTTAAACCCAGGACCTCAGAATGGGACCTTATTTGGAGACGTGGGGCCTTTACAGAGGCCATCAAGTTAAAGAGAGGTCATGTGACCGGCATCCTTGTGAGAAAGGGAAACCTGCACACAGCTCCGCAGGGAGAACACTGTGTGAACACGCGATGGCTGTCTACAAGCCCAGGAGGAGCAGAGTCTCCCTCACAGCCTCAGAAGCAGCCAGCCGTGTCCTGGCTACTCTAAACAGTGCTGCAATGAACACAGGGGTCCACGTATCATCTCGAACCACGTTTTACTCCAGATATATGCCCAGGAGTGGGACTGCAAGATCATATGGTAGCCCTATTTTTAGTTTTTTTAAGGAAACTCCATGCTGTTCTCCATAGTGGCTGTATGACTTTACATTCCCACCAACAATGCACGAGGGTTCCCTTTTCTCCACACCCTCTCCAGCATTTATTGTTTGTAGATTTTTTGATGATGGTCACTCTGACTGGTGGGAGGGGATACCTCGTTGTAGTTTTGATTGGCATTTCTCTAATGATTAGTGATGCTGAGCATTTTTCATGTGCCTCTTGGCCAACTGTATGTGTTCTTTGGAGAAATGTCTATTTAGGTCTTCTGCCCATTTTTTGATTGGGTTGTTCGTGTTTTTGATATTGAGTCGCATGAGCTGTTTGTAAATTTTGGAGTTTAATCCCTTGTCGGTTACATCATTTGCAAATATTTTCTCCCATTCTGAGGGTTGTCTTTTCATTTTGTTTATGGTTTCCTTTGCTGTGCAAAAGCTTTTGAGTTTAATTAGGTCCCATTTGTTTATATTTGTTTTTATTTCTATTACTCTAGGAGACGGATGGAAAAAGATATTGCTTCGATTTATGTCGAAGAGTGTTCTGCCTATGTTTTCCTCTGTTTACAAAAGCCAAGACATGGAAGCAACCTAAATGCCCATTGACAGATGAATGGATAAAGAAGATGTGGTACATGTATACAATGGGATATTACTCAGCCACTAAGAAGAATGAAATAATGCCATTTGCAGCAACATGGGTAGACCTGGAAATTATCACACTAAGTGAAGTAAGTCAGACAGAGAAAGACAACATCATATGATATCACTTATATATGGAATCTAAAAAAAAATGGGGCTTCCCCGGTGGTGCACTCATTAAGAATCCGCCTGCCAATGCAGGGGACATGGGTTCGAGCCCTGGTCTGGGAAGATCCCACATGCCTCAGAGCAACTAAGCCCACGCACCACAACTACTGATCCTGCGCTCTAGATCTCGCCAGCCACAACTACTGAGCCCGTGTGCCACAGCTACAAAAGCCCCCATGCCTAGAGCCCGTGCTCCGCGACAAGAGAAGCCACCGCAATGAGAAGCCC